GAACTGAAGAACAAATTCAAGCCTCAAGTTAGAATACTTAAGGATGCTATGGGAAAAATACGGAATGATCCAGGAAGCACTAAAAGAAGATGGAAGAAGTACTCAGAGTCACTGTACCAAAAAGAAATGGCTGATATAGAAGAATTCCATGAAACAACATATGATCAACAGGCAATGATGATGAAGGAGGAAGTTCAAGCTGATCTGAAGGAATTGGCAAAAAACAAGGCCCCAAGAATTGGTGGAATACCATTTGACATATTTCAACCAACAAATGCTGCCCTGGACATGATCACCTGGTGGTACCAAGAAATCTGGAGGACAACGACCTGGCCAGCTGACTGGAAGAAACCCATATTATTCCCATTCCAAAAAAAAGATGACCTGACTAAGTGTGGAAATTATCAAATGTTATCACTTAATATGATATGCAAGCAAAATCCTGCTGAAGATATAAAAAAAATGACTGGACAAGAACATTGATAGAGAACTACCAGAAATGCAAGGTGGGTTTAGAAAAGGCCATGGCACTAGAGACGTTATCATCAGTGTCACATGGATCTTGGCAGAAGGCAGAGAATACCAGAGGAATGTCTATCTGTGTTTCATTGACTAGGCAAAGGCATTTTACTGTGTGGATCATAACAAATTGTGTCTAGCCTTGAGAATAATAGAATTCACAGAACACTTGGTTGTACTCATGCAAAGTCCATACTGGGACAAGGATATAGTCATCAGAACAGAGAAAGGAAATAGTGCATGTTTCAAAATTAGGAAAGGAGTGTGACGGGGGTACATCCTGTCTCCACACGTTTTCAATCTGTAAGCGGAACAGATTATTCAGAAGGCTGGTATTTATGAGGAGGAACGTGGCATAAGGATTTTAGAAAGACTGCAGTCAGAAATTGATCGAACATGCACTCAAGATGCATTGATAATAATGGGTGACTGGGATGCAAAAGTTGGGAACGGAAGAAAGATCAGTAGCTGGAAAACATGGACTTAGTGACAGAAATGAGGCTGCAGATAGAATTATAAAATTCTGCACATTCAATGATTTATTCATTGCAAATACCTTTTATAAGAAACACAAATGCATGCTATTCATGTGGATTTCACCTGATGGTATACATAGGAATCAAACCAATTGCATTTGTGGAAAGAATCATTGGAGAAGTTCAATATCAGCTGTGAAAACCAGGCCAGGTGCTGATTGTGGAACAGACCACAACTACTCATGCACAAGTTCAAGATGAATTTGAAGACAGTAAAATAAGATTCTCCTTGGAGGCTAGAATTTTGAAGCTCCATCACACATAATTTGGGAATGTGTCCAAGAGAGAACAGTCTTTGGAGAAGGCCATCATGCTTGGAATAGTGGAGTTACAGTGCAGGAGAGGAAGACCCTGGATGGGATAATGGGAGTAGGTGTGTCAGAGTCCATGAGACTGGCTTAAGACAGGACAATCTTTTTTTTTTTTTAATAAGTTTGTTTATTTTTCATTTCAATGAACATCTACAGAGATTTTGGAATTCCATTCATTGATTGTTGC